TATCTATCTATCTATCTATCTATCTATCTATCTATCTATCTATCTATCTATCTATCTATCTATCTATCTATCTATCTATCTATCTATCTTTCAAAAATTGTGTTCATATTTATTACAAACATTTGATGTCACAGGCACTGTTAAGTATCATTGTTTTGAAGTTCTAATTTCAGTTCTGTCATAATGTTTTCAAATAGATTACTCAGGGCACAAATCAGAAATAAMCATGGATAATAGTATGGCACTTAGATAACTGAAGGGGGGGTGGGACTGCAATGCTCTGCTCTGGTTTCCAATCACAGTCAAAAGACTATTTTAAGTTAATTAGTGATTCCAAACTCATTGTTAGTATTAGAAAGTTCAGACAGGGTATCTGTGTTACCCCTGTGGTGTCCTTCTTACCTCTCCAGGATGTCCTCTGTGCTGTTCGACAGATAAGCTCCAGATGACTACAAGAATGAAATGACTAAGCAGCTACGGAGAATGAATGAACTGACCTTCCATTGGTTTCCTTTTTAACAAGTGCACTTAAGGTTTGTAGACTGTCTCAATGTTTTTGTGCCTTCATGCCAAGGGGTGTCTGGATTTTTGTGGCATATGTACAAGACTTAGGGATAGGGCTAGCAAGGCAAATGGAACACTTTCAGGTGCACATTTTGAACAAAGGGTTAACTGCATTGATGTATTTTATATCTAGTATTACTGTCAACCATCCTCAGTAACAATAATGAACATTTTCATGCCCAAGTTAGTTGTAAATTACAGAGAATTCAGACTGAGACACAAGCACTTTTAGGATGTTTAAAGAGATGAACAGTTCAAGGTGCCTCCCATTTCATCAGAAAGCAGCTAATACATTATTCAGTTACATTTACTTAGGTAACTTTTTGGAAAAAATGACAACATTTACTTCATACTTTACGTGAGGAATGTTATGAAGTGTTGAAACTTGAGTATACTTGAGTATCCTTGAGTATAAATTCTGAATACCCACAGTAAATAACTTCACTAAATGAAGAACAAACCTGTTGTGAGCATGAGTTTCATAATGAGAATAAATAGACTTGGAAAAGTGGTTTCTCTGCTGGAATGTGTCATTTTGTAATGATGTTCTTTATTTGTTGATTTTCTTCATTCTAATCTTTAAAACAAACATCATAATTTGCAAATAACTTTTTTATTTTTTGTAAGCTTGGTGACATCATTTTAATRTATTATATCAGATGTTATAATCAGTTACTCAGAACTCTAGTAGATTTTTTTTACCAATTTCTTTTAAACTCTTGAATAATTTCTTGTATGGCAATTTATTTTTTTTTTACTATTACTTAAATAAAAATATGTAGAAGTAGTGCTATGTTAACTTTCAATTAGAGGCCAAGGAGATTATTTGAGCAACAGAGGTAGAGGAAAGAGGAACGTTTACGAAATCCACACTTTCAAAAATGTTAAATTGTTTGTTTGTGTCTTAGCATTTTTGTTTTGTTGAACTGATCACCTCCTTCCCATGAAGTGACTTTTGTTACAGCCTGCAGTCAAAAGCAAAGACTCTGTGTGTGTGTGTGTGTCTGTGGGGGGGGGGGGGGGGGGGGGGTGGTTGTCTGTTTTTCTTTTACCAAAATATCTTATTGAATCTTTCAGGAATTGATTACAGGATGTAACTTCAGAGCCAACCCAATTAAAAAAGGCACACTTTAATTGTTTAAACATGATTTTTTTTTAACAGTTTGACTGGTTCTCAAGTAGGAACGCAGGTTGATGTGATTTTGTATTTTGTCACTGAAAGCACTTAAACAATCAGACTTTTTGTTCCTGGTGTATTTTTTGTTGATTACGTGACACCACAATGCCATAGAAAGTTTTCCTGGTTATTTCATGTTTTTCTTCAAAATTTATCCCAAACAGCTTGATAATTATTTAGAGTTAAGCTAAAGATCATAAAAACAAATCTGTTTCACGCGAGTTAGTTTTATTAAACTGTAAAAAGGAACTGAATCTCATGCAATAAAATTCAAGTCTTGATCACGCTTGGATAGCAAAATTCTCATTTCAGAACATGTTTAAAAACTGTAAGATGTTGAACTCATTGCTGGTATTGTTCTGTTATCTGTCAGCTGGGTGGGAGTTGGGTTGGGTAGAGCAAGAAGCTCCTCTCCTCCCCTCACTGCTTTCAGAGATAAGACTGAAGCAACTGAAAATGTTTCTTTAAAAAATACCACAGCACACCAACAGCCTCGCAGAGTTACACTTTTTTTATTACAATGGCGGATTTAAAATCTTTGTAAGTACACGTACTCTCTGTATTTAATATTATTGAGCTTACKTTTTCTGCAAATGCAGAAATATAAAGAAACAGTGTGTAAAATGTGTTTTAGTGAACAGAAGCTGACAGATGGTGAGGGTGGCAGTGTTAAAAAGAGCAAAAAGAAGCAAAAGAAAAAAGATGCTTGGAGACCAGAGGGACCTAGAGACCCATTTGCCATGGTTTGTGTTTCAGTGTGTGTGAGACTTTTGCACTATTAGATATGAGTTTGTTTGCACGCATAAGACGGTTGGAACAATCAGCCTTCGCTGCTCATTTGAACTCAGCCCGATAATCTAAGCAGTCGATGGGTTAATAGGGCTCCTAAACAAATTATACAGAGTTCCTTTTTTTTCTGTGCCAGCTGGACTCCCTRCCAGAGAAGAAACAGCAGGAGATCCAGAAAGCTCTTCATCTCTTCTCYATGGGCCAGGGTTTGCCAAAGACCCTGCAAGATGCCAAAAAACATACCTACCACTTCTGGGACACGCAACCTGTCCCCAAACTGGGTGAGAAGAAAGTCATCCTTCTGTAATTTATTATTTAACTCGTCTAGCTGACCTTTTAAGGTCTGTTCTTTCTGTGTGAAGTTTCTGTCACGTCTTAGCATGCTGACTGAGAATCAGAACGATTTGGGCTTTACTCAAACTAGAGAAAATACAACTTTTCATTAGTTCTTAGAAAAGGCAACAGTGACATTGGGGTATTTCGAGAGGTTTATTTGCAGAAAACATTTGCTACCTCAAACAGTGGTACAGTATGTTTCCTGTAGGAAAGTTCCAGCCTGGGGGAATAGATGTGCTAACCACTAATTAAATCATTTGCATGAATCTGATAATTTGACTCTTTTCAGAAATAAAAGTGCTTTCAGCCTCTCACGATTTGGTACAACTTCTAATAATTATTCAATTAAATTAAATGAGTTATACATTATACTGTACATGTATGCTCACTACTTAAATTAATCAGTCTATTTAAAGTCAACTTTGTGCTTTCCAGAATGCTGTTATTATTATAATATAGCAACAGAACCCGCCAGCAGATAACTCATTACCACAATTCATCATCCAACAGCGGTGGCTCTGATGTGTGGTGTGGTCGTCTTGGTTGTCATAAAGAGTTACAAGTCTCAGGCTGTAATGTAAATCATCAAAAMTGAATGGGCCAGGACAAAATTAGTTAAAGTGGTTGGATAAATGTTTGTATCTGGAATGAGTGGTGATAAAAGGGAAGTTGTCTGCACTAGGGCTGCAAAGATTAATCGATTATTAAAATAATCGATGACTAATTTAATAATCGATTAATCGTTTTCTCTTTTTTCTTCGTTCTTTACTTCATTTTTCTCTCCAAACTGCTTTGACACTTCCCACTGCCACATCTGCCTTTCTGTCCTTGACACACATGCACAGTAGTGGTAACTGGGGTAGG